AGGGTTAGTCCAGTTAATACAGGAGAAATATGAGGTATGAAAATATCCAACCCCTCTCTAGCTTTGTGCATATACTTATGTCCATACTAGCCTCCAAGTCTAGAGTATAGGAAAATTATTGAGTATGTTTTAGACTTGTGAAATTTTCCAGAGTGTAGCCTCCAAGGGCCGGCTTAAGTTTAATAAAATAAGTCGGGTCTTAAAGACCTTAAAGAACCAAATATGTAGCCCCCAAGGGCCGGCTTAACTTTGATAAAATGAACCGGGTCTTAATGGCCTTAAAGAACCAAATATGTAGCCCCCAAGGGCTGGCTTAACTTTGATAAGATGAGCGGGATATTAATGACCTTAAAGAAGCAAATATGTAGCCCCCAAGAGCTGGCCTAACTTTGAGAAGATGAGTCGGGTCTTAATAGAGATTGAAAATGACCTACATTAGCCCCCAAGTGCCAAGTATATTGCTTACAATGTGCTTGGGACTTGATTAACTGTATCACAAGAACTTGCTCCTTGTATTATAACCATTGCCTCCATATTGTATTTTAGGAGTCATTGAACGTGGAAGAGTTGTAGCTTAGCGACTTCAAGAAAATATAGAGCTGCAACAAGCTGAAACATCCAAGGCCGAGTCAAGGCTGAAAATTTCACTAGAAGAAATTGAGAAAATGAAGGCGGGTTTTGATGCTGAAAGAACTGTCTGGGAAACTGACAAGGCTGCACTTGAAAGAGAAGCCGAAGATGTCGAGGCTAAACTTAAACCAATAACCGAAGAGTTAGCCGGCTTGAAGCAACATATTTGTCAATTGTCAGCCGCCATCTTTGGTAAGCTTATCATGTAACTCATTATCTATTTTGATATTTATTTAACCCGCCTAGTGACTCATAATATATAATCTTTAACCCGCCTAGTGAATTGTGCAAAGAATTGAACATGCCCTAGAAGCGCCAGTCTTGGTCAAAACACGCTGCTCAAATTGAAGGCGGCTTATTCATTGACTGAGCAGTTGTATGCTGCAACACGGCGCAACCTTGTAGCTTTGTCAGGTGGCAGAAAACCTCTAACTCAAATCAAGACTGTGTTGGATCATCTCTCAATGGTGCCAGCTCAAATGGAGGAGGTTAAATTATCAGCCGCCCAAGCCGGAGCCATTGTTGCTCTAGGCCGGGCCAAGGCGTGGCAATCAGAACTTGACCCGGAAGAAATAGCTACCGGATGACCAGAGTTCAAGGATGATGAGTTGATCTTTGAAGAGAAAGACTTCAACAAATGTGTCATAGAGATGCGGCATGTGGCCTCCAAACTTATAGAAGAGTTGTATTTGAACAAGTACACGCTGGCTTACGATGACAACAACAATAAGATTGTGTCGTCATCTCATGATGTTGTAGATCTCACCCCGCCAAGGTGTAAGCATATCTTCGCTCCTGATCTTGACCCCTATGTTATTCTAAACTAGTAGAACGCCCGTGCGTTGCCACGGGCTTTTTTCTTTCATGATTGCACCTATAAATGTGGAAGCCCACCATAACTTGCTACTAAAATTTCACATGTATAGAAAAAATTGAAATCCACTCCACTTACAATGTAATTTGACAATGTATACAAAGAGATCACTAATAATTACCTCATTCTTAAAGAAATATAAGAGCGTTTAGTGATATAGAGGGATTATCTGTTATAAACTAAGATCTACTTGATGCTCTTGAGAAATTCCTATAAAATGTCAGGAATATTGTCTTTTGCTTCGCTTGCATGGTACTTCTACAAGTATAATTAAAATGAAATAAAAAATAAGACTTTTCAGTGATGTTTCTTCAAAAAAAGATGGGCAAACAGTATGGGAACCCCCTACCATGTAATTTTCATTAATAGAAGGAGGAAAAGGGAGGAATGTACAAAGTTACTTAATTACATAGGGGTAAAGGATACCCCTAAATGAAAAAGAAAAACTAAAACAAAGACATGATTAACTGCCCACTTCTTCAATCTTCTCCTATTTCATTCTACTTGAAGTGAACGCTTGTACGCAACCATACAGCTGAATGCAATGGCGAGAGCATGATAGCAAAATGTTGTTTGAATATGACCTAGGCCTAAAACGCACTCATTCTTCTTAAGTGCTTCATGAAGATACCTAAGAGCAGTACTCACATTGCTCGCATCCTGGTACATCATCGCCACATTTATAAGAGTTGTTGCAGCATCTGGATGATCAGGACCTAATGCTAAACTCAACAAAAGAAAATGCACAGGACATGTGTCGTAGCGCAAGTTCGGTTTGATTGAACCCATGATAGAACTACTGCTACAAAAAGTAGACAACTCATAAATGTAACATCCAAAGTCACATTTTCAAGACCAAACCAAGCATCATCCGACAAATATAATTATCATGTAAGTTTGAATGTAGCTAACCTTTTGGCAAAGATTGTGGTGAACTGCAATTCTTTTAGCCCCAACCATCGCATCATCTAGCACTTCAAACAAAATAAATGAAGTCCGTTAGCCATGGTGTTTGATAAAAAACTGAAAACGTAAAGAAATAGTAACTGCCCATACCTGGTATTTATGTTTTGCGAGTATCAGACCAAACTCCGTCAGATGTTAGCCGGGAATATGCAGATTAACCCTTTCTTGCAAAAGCTGATTGACTTGATTTCTAGTCCTGGCATATTGAATACAATTTTCATACTAGCAAAAGATTAAATAATACTCCCTCCATTCCTAAATGTATGACGTTTTTGTAGTTTAATTTGAACTACCAAAACTTCATATATTAAGGAACATAGGGAGTAGTAAACTAAGCTCCCGATGAAGTTGCACAGTGTATAGCAACGCCACGGGATTGCTTGTGATTAGATAGCATACCTTATGGGTTTTCGATTGCGGGCTGCCAGTATTGCTTTTTGTTTAAGCAGACAAAACTTTGCCAAAAAAACAATTCAAGAAATGAGTAAGAACGGGTGCAATATGACGGTTTGGGCTTTGCCTCATTATGTCCTGGAGTAGCAAGAGCGCATGATGGCTAATAAAATAATATTCTAACACCATAACTTAGTTGAACATAGCTACAAATAAAAACTTGCGATTTTGAGATTCCTATGGCAGAAATAATTACACATGACTAATCATCTTATAACATAATTATGGGATGCAAGCTAACCCATAGTGTGGATATCACAGGTTCACAACTGTACGATGAGATGAAACTGATAAAACAGAGTGAAGGAGGGCATTTGTATCACAGACCTTCTCTGGTACATATTGTTATTGTACGTGAAGTAGAAGTTGACATTGAGGTCAGCTCTCCCAAGCCACCAGCAGCGCTAGGTCCCATTGTAGCCCTATCTTGGCCATCCGAAGCTCATATTGGCACAACGCCTCCTCCTCCTTGCTGCTAGCGCCGCCAGGGAGGGCGCCACGTGCGCGCTGCCATTACCGTGGGAACCCACTGCCAGCCAACCCCCGGCGAATGCCGCCACGTTAGTAAGCCTCTCTTCGGTTCCCTCCTTCCTCCTCCCATCTCTCCTCTGATTCCTCGCCGCGCCATTGATGCAGGACGCTGCCGCCGTCAGTTCATTGACACGTAGGAGCGCCTCCAGCCGCCCCCTGTGCAACTCTTCATTAGACTTGTGCAGCCCCGAGGGTTGGGGCTCGCCACTTGTACCGCCCATGTCGATTGAAAGGGAAAGGGATGGCATGCAATTACGGCCACGGGAGGGGAGATCAGCTGTGGCTAGGGTTATTGGGACTTAAAATGCGATCTATGAGTCACAACCTTCTCACGTATGGAGAAGAGGAGCTGGGAGGGGTTGACGTCGAGCCAGGGCGAACGACAAGAGGTCATCGAGAGGCCGTCTGCGATCTATGAGCCTCACGCTAGCCTAGACAGCAAGGAAATATTTTAGACCGTTTTGTGTTTTGGAAAGCATGAGCCTAAGTAAGGAAAGTTATTGTTTTGTGATTTGGGAAGTGTAGACCACATCCACGCTTGATTATTTGAATGAAAATAAGATGGAAAGAATCGTACATAATGGGGAAATACCTGTGCCAAGATGGAAAAACAAGAGAAAGTTTTGTGGGAATTGATTTGGTTTTTAATGGGAGGGGCGGTGAGTCGTGAGACGAAAATAAACCAGACGAAAATAAACCCGACGAAAAAAACCATGGACGCAATCCTGTTTACTGCTCCATTAGAAGTCTATAGTCTTAAGGGAGCAGTTGATAGTCTCCGCCGGTCAATTTTCATCTCATCAGAGACGGTTTTTTTTGTCCTCCCTTCCACCTCCCACTTCCAGTGATTCCCCCGAACCGAACGACGAGCAAAACTGACATTGCGATGGGACGAGGGTGCAAACCTCCGGTCCATAGATAGAAAAACGGATATAAAAAAATCTACCAAAATTAACCTACGAAAATTAACCAGTGAAAAAAAAGATGCTAGGGCAGGTACGAGCGATTCCTCCTACCCCGCCCCCACCTTCTCCCCCACTCCCGGCGCCGCGCCGCCCCCATCTTCTCCCCCACTCCCGGCGCCGCCCC